AATTGTATCTGGTTTTATAATTAGGTGAGAAAGTTCCTGTTATAAGGTAAGTCTATAAGATGCTGAATAGATATGATTATTTTGAATTCTAAGAGGTTTAAGCAATATAAAAATTGAAAGAAAACAAAGCTTTTGTATTTTTTTATTCAGTTCATATTAGTAGAAAAAGAACCAGCAGATTCATTGCCTTTGTCATGACAGTACTCAGAGATGCCTCAGAAAATCTGAGGCAGAGAAGAAGATTGAATCCTGAACTAGTGAAGGATTTACAGTTGACAGTTACAGAATGAAAATGCTCTCCTTGGCTTTAGTGTTTACAAAGATGGGTGAGGAAAACTCTTCAGAATGACTCAGAGTCTGCCATACGTGGGCTGCCTGCTCCAAGAAACCATCATTTTACTGGCTTTGTTATGTATTTTTAATCTGTGCTAGGAATTGAATGGACACAAGTGGGACCCAGGTGATTAGTTCTGTTGCACACTACTCAGGCTGATGCCAATAAAGACCTTAAATACCTTTTGATTCTTCCTCATCTTTCCTGGGCAGAGCCATCCTTTTTGTGTATTTCATCCTAAAAGCCACAATCCTGTGGTCAGATGATCCTTAGGTCAAAGGTATTTCTTAGTAATATCTACATTGAGAGTTATTTTGAGATGCGCAGAAGCATTTAAGTATAACTAATACACTGCTACTGGTTATTCACCAGTTTAGGGGACAGTAGGAGAAGGCATGGTAAAATAAAAGCCATTGTAAAGTGTGCTGAAGTCAAAAGCAAGGTGAGTATCATTTAACCCTCCCAGCTCTGACTCACATTCAAGTTCTCAGTGGTTACCTAACATGTTTCCAATGTACATTCTCCCTGAAGTATCCTTTCTTGTAACAGAGACTCATGGAGGACCAACGTTTGGAAAAAGAGACTCTCTGGAGCGAGGGATTCATGCTGCTCAGAATCAAGATGACCAAGAAGGGGTTTTACTGTTCATGTGAGTTCATTTTGCGTTGTGATTGCACTCATTCTGCAAGTTCAACCATCGGCACAGTGACTTTCGAACCACCTACTCCTTCAGGTAGATACTCTAGGCCAAGGTGTGGGCTCCTATGACTGTAAGTAAATTATAATCAGTAACGAATTAAGCTTATTAATATGACAGTATCACTATAAGCAGATGGTGGTTGTATGCACCCCACTATCTGCTTGTGACTGGAAATGTGCAAAGAACAGAGCATAAAGAGGATTTCAGTGTGCCCAGTCTGGGTTTTCTGCTCAAGTCCTCTGCACATGCGTGACCTCTCTTTGAACTATACGCTTCTATATTGAGATTGGGGGGTGATTTTAGTCTTCAAACAAGCTGAATGTGGAAAATGTAGATTTGGGCCAGGCACTATGTGGGTGAGAAGCAAGTAAGGGCTTCCCACACTACAAATACTCCTCAGCAGCAACACTGTCCCTCAGTTTCCACTGTGAGTCCCTTCTGAGCAATGCTAATACACTGAAACTGGAGTGTAGGCACAAAGGTGTAAAGGAAATGGAAGCTGTTGCCTTCATTTTTAAGCCATAGTAGTAAATATTTCTAACTGTGTTTGGATGGGCATCAGATCCTGCAGTAGCAGCAGGTCACATACTACATTCCTGAAGTAAATGGGAAGGATTTGAGAGGTTTTGGAAGCATTTTTCTGAATGTTTTGCTGAGATACAATTTCTTCTCTTTTTGTTGCTCTCTCCAAGACTAAAAACTGAAAATATATTCAGTGTTGAAAGAGCTGTGAAGGATAATGTCAAAGGGACACTTCCCCATAAGGGTTTGTCTGTCTGCATGGTGTTTATGAGCATGACCTGCTAGTACACTTGGGCTGCAGCCATATCTCCATACATCTCGCTAAGCAACACAGCTGCTGACTGCCTCAAGGACTGACATTTACAGAGTGTGTATCATCCAGTTATTGTTTCACATCACTTCAGACAGTCTTGATCATCAGCTAATTAAAGTGTATGGTCTCCTCTGTACTCTTCATTGAAGCTTCTGTTTTTCGAACACAGCTTCCATTGGTGACATGTTTATTATGTCTTTGAATTTTACTTTGCAGCATGGATGTGGCTTAGTTTCTATCTGAGTAAACTGGGTATGAGAGAGATGAAAAGCTGCTTAGTAGAAAGGATGGCTCACTTCATGGTGTTGTGCACCTTGACACTGTCTAGGGCCCCCTTGAAGTCAGATAGCCCGTGGGTTTAGTGTTAGGCTGGGTTTTAAATTACCTCTGGAAGCAGTCAGCCTGTTGCTCTCCTTCCCTATTCCAGCACAAGTAACCTCAGTGCATCTTTGGGTTTGCTTATCTGGGCACACATCGTGCTATCAAATGTCATGCAAGATCTCTGAAATGCTTCTGGAGCCTAGGAAAACACAGAAATATGGAAATACAACAGTGCTGACAGGCTGGCCTCCTGAAGACAGTTTAGCAAAAGCCCAGACAGCCAATTTCTTATTAGCTAGCTGTTCTGCTAGCACCTTACCTCTGGCGAGGAGAAGTGTAATCAGTTGTAGCCCAAGAAAACAGCTACAGCAGGCATCATGCTAACACTTCTGAGGCTTACTGCATTCAAAAAAATGTTACCAGCCCATAAATGTGATGGTGTGATAATGTGCTGATGAGTAGTAGTGTACTGTGAAGAAATAAAGACACAGTTATTAGAGCAAATCTGTGAGAGACGGCAGGAAAGAGATGGAAAGGCAGCATCTTTTTTCTGTCAAATTCACTGGGAAACTAGGGGAAACAGAGCCACACGGAATTATATCCTACTCCCCATTACAAGTACCTCTCTTGAGTATGATCTCATAGCAGCGACATCTCTCAGTGGAGAAATAAGAGATGAGGTGGACACAGCACAGGTAAGGGAGAAAGAGGGCTCAGTAAGAACCTAAGCAAAAGTGTGGGGAGAAAGAGCTGGTGCATGAGAACTTGGAACAGGAGGCAGGACTGTTCTGGTAGATAAATATTAGGAACTTGTGTGATGACCCAAGAGCTCATCAGCATTTTCAGAGCGATGGTGCCAGATTCTCCGTTGCTGTTACAGCTGTTTGAGTATATTGTGAGGCAGGTGGGAAGTCTTACTTGCTAGCGTCTTCTATTTTGAGTGAAAAGAGTACAAGAAATGAGCATGAGCTGGAATTTACTGCAATGTACATAGAGGATTTTTTATTTTTAGAAACAGCCAATGCATTACACATCATTCAGCACAGGCAAAGACTGACACCGCTAGCCAAAATGGTCAATGAGAAGGTGAACCCAGAGGCTACAGGAGCAGCTACCTTTAGCAATGGAAATGAAGCATGGGTCCTTTCCATTGGACAGCTTCTGTTCCATCAAAATTCTAACATTATTGATCACAGAATCATAGAATAGTTTGGGTTGGAAGGGACCTTAAAGATCACCTAGTTGCACCTCCCTGCCATGGGCACGGACACTTTCCACTAGGTGATGATGGACATCATCATTTCCTGGGTTCACAGAAGCATTGCTGGGATTATTGACTTATTCAGAAGGAGCCACCAGGTCATTCATGCCAGGTTTACTGAGTCCAGTGGGCAATTAGCCAGAGATGACACAGAACATGGACCTTTTGTGTTTAGTATTTCATTCAAATATGGTGTTTAGAATTGGAGCCTTTTTTTCTGTCAGAGCTTTTGATGATTAGATTATCAGAGCTTAGATTGGATAGAAGGAAGAAGTTCTTTACTGCAAGGATGGTGAGGTACTGGAATGGGTTGCCCAAGGAAGTTGTGAATGCTCCATCCCTGGTGGTGTTCAAGCCCAGGTTGGACAGAGCCTTGGGTGCCATGGTTTAGTGTGAGTTCTCCCTGCCCATGGCATGGGGGTTGGAACGAGATGAGCTTAAGGTCCTTTCCAACCCTAACTATTCTATAATTCTATGATTCTCTGATTTTGGCTAGTGAGCTGCTGATCCCATTGATAGAGCCTTCTGAACATTGCCCATGAGTAAAATACAGTGTTGAGAAGTTCATTTTAAATTAAGAAGAGATATATTACTAAAGCACATAAAAAATATCAGAGAAAACACTTGAGGGACAACAGCAGAAATAAAGAACACCATCACTGTAGCATCCCCATGCTGCAGGTTCCATATCACTGAGTAATTTCACACCAGTATGTTGATGCTTTTTTATAGGGATGAAGAAAAAAGCTTTTCCAGGATTTCTTTAGGACATTTGATACTTGAGGTGAAACCAAGACAACCTCTCCTGCAGTCCTGCATATCCAAATCCAGACTAAACCCCATGGGAGCAGTTCCACGGAGATGTAGATCATAGGAACGAAGTGGCCCTGGATGGATTTTTTCCATACTTTCAATAATGGCCTATGTTTTTTACCCACTGCTCTGTTTTGGTGTCAACAATAGAATTGAACTGATAAGTTCTTTTGGAAACACAACCTTATAAAAACAGATCATCGCCAAACTGTTCCTAATGGTGAACCAGGAATTGGTTCAAACTATCTCACCATACCTTTTCAAACAGCTCATGTTCTTCCCATCAGCATCTACAATCAGGAACACCAGTAGTTTGTCTCTTCCTAACCGCTAGCAATTTTCTGCATTGGTAAGTGTCTGTCTTCTCATTAGGGCTGTTTCTGCCCAGTGTCCTTTTGAATCCTAAAGGAAAATTATGTAAAGCTTTGTCAGCAACTTTTGTGTGGAAGAGTGTTTAAAGACATCAGGCACCATGGTTAGGAAGCCAGGTGTTCTTACCATGCCCAACTTTGTTTCCTACTGAGCAACATTTTTGTTCAAAGCAGGATTTGTTTGTTTTACAGTAAATACCTGTCACATAGCAACAGAAATATTACTAAATAATAATACATATAATGTTAAGCTCCTGGGTCTAGAAGCTTTTAATGAAAAAAAACCCCACATTCCTGGTAAAAAATAATAAATAATGTCACCATTTCTTTTTACATTAAAAATACCTGTACATGATTACACAAAGTAACAAAGTACAATTTTATTTGCTAGGCCCAGAGTGGCATCTCTGGGTTAGATCTTCATCTATAAAGGGTAGAGGCTCGTAGTCTTCATCCTGCATACTTCCCTGCATGAAAATCATCTTCCCAAAGTTGCAAAGTCTACAGCATTGCCTACCCTTTCCATGCAAAGGTGGAAGCAGCTCACAAGGAACATAGCAACATCTACATGCAGGAAGCAGCTAAGGACTGAGATCTTTGCAAACAGAGGTGTGCATATGAGGATATTTGAAAGTCTTGAAACTTCTTGCTTCAACTGGAAGAGAACAGAAACAAATAGAAAAATAAAATGGAAAATGTAAATAGAAGTCTGTCTTCCTAATGTAGCTTTTTAGATGGTGTAACTTTCAAGATGGCACTTGGTGATCTATTACAGACTGACTCTGTCTCTTGGCCAACCTTTCTTCTTGGTAAGAATGCCCAAAATCTGCTCAGATGAGGACAGCACTGGCTTTGTGGGCCACATTGCTTCCATTGGCCTCTGAAAGGCAGAGGATGGCTGCTGTCTTTTAGCAGCTGGGCTGGATTGAGATAGTGCTTGCAGGACCTTCTGTTAGCAGTGAAATATCCTGTAGGTCCCACTGCAGCTTGTCAGGCACTATTTATGCTCAATGAGTCTTCTACCGAAGAATTTGGCCAGGAAACACAATAAAGCATTTACAAAGAAAGCTCTGAAGGGTAGGGTGAATCAGCAGCTCATGCTGACCTTTTACCAGTAACTGTAATCAAAGGGCAAACATTTCCTCTTACTTTGCTAAAGAAAACATAGTGCTGTTTCTCTCCTGACAGTATCCAGTCACCGCTGGGCAGGATCTTGCACAGATAAAGTGGGCATTTGGTCTCACATTATGTTAGGGCTTTATCCAGAACTTGCAATCTTTTAGGTCATATCACAGAACAGAAATGGCTTGTGCACGGATGGCAGCTGGAAAGGAATAACGGAAGTCCATGTCCATGCACTGGGTGGTTTGTATTTGTGTTGTTTCCTTACATTGACGGATATCAGCTCACTCCTGGAGTAAGGCTCTGAGACAGTCTTATAGCCCAGCTGTCCTTGCAGATACAGGAAAGCCTCCTCAGCCATTCTGTTCATGTACCTTCCCATGCCCCCATCAATCTACCTACACGCAGCTGGACATTCATGTGAAGTCAGGGGTGGAGGCACCATGACAATGCAGATGAGTAAGTTTTCATAAGGTCCTGCTGTCTGTAAATCCTTTGGTTATCCTAAAGGAATCTGTCCCCTCAGCTGAGCTATTCCTCATCTAGGATGTGACTAGAAACAGGACTCTTGGGATTCAGGGTCATTGTGGATGGGAAGCTTCTCATGTTCCTGATGATGCCCGTTATGTAAAACAGTGTACCTGGAAGTGGAAAAACATAAAGAACAATTTGTTTGTGCTAGTTAAAAGGATAAGATTATGTAAAATGAGTTATCAAAACCCGTGAAGTACATCTTAAGAGACAGTACACCTTACAAATATCCACACCCCACATCAAGCAAATGTGAATTCTTACTTTGTTCCATGACAGGACTAAATCTTCAGTTTGATGCAGTCAAGGCAATCCCTGAAAACCAAGAACCTGTTGGTTTTCATGTATCTAAGGTGCATCTGGTAATGAGAAGGAACCAGACCAAAGAACTAAGAAACGCTGATCCTCTGCGGGTGAAGTAAGCTACAGGCACTTCAGTGAATGTCTTCAGTGCAAGCATGTAAAGGATCATTTGAGACTAACTTGGGAAGTGAATACTTGAGATGAAGACCAACATTTCAGAGCATTTTTGCTTACAAAAGTAAGTAGTCTCTAGTATTGTCTTACTAAATACAGCGCTTACCAGTGCTCTTCAGGTCTTATGTCCTTGGGAGGTTTCGTGTGATGCATGTACCTTTCCCTAGTCCAAATGCTTATTGGGGGAATCAGGTTTCTGTCAGGACTTTCCTCAGAGATGTATCTACAGAGATGTATTGTTTCTCTTAGTAACAAATGTCTAAAACATACCTGAAATATCTGCATCCCAAGAAACATAAAAAAGAAAGAAAAAAACCCTAAGAAAATAAATAGAGGAATATACCTGTTCTGCTGTTAGCAGAAGCATTGTCAGCCTCAGGATCTGATTGAATAGTCATTAGAAAAAAGGTCAGGAACTCCTCATTGTCTACATATGCAAAAACTGATCCTACGACATCAGGTTACTTGGTATTAATTATCTGGATGCATCTTTTTCTCCATTGAGTATACTTGGGGCTTAGGCTCCTAATTAAGCTGCTTACAAGCCACTGAAATGTCTGAAGGAAATGATCTGAAGATCCTACAAATGACATATCCATTAATTCCAGTAGATCAGCAATGGACTCGAAATGAAAGCCAGGGTATAAACTGTACTGCCTGTCTGCATTAACCTGGTGAATATTCCTGAAGGAATCTACCCTCTAACGTACTACTAGACACTGTTTTTCAACACGGTCAAGCTAGGCTGCCTTAATGCAGGTGTCTGTATGTGCAGATATATCCACAGAACATATACCCCTTTAGTACTCCATCACTTCAAATAATGATCATAACTTTCAATAAATGTGCTAGTTCTACCGACAAGATACAGACTTGATGTAAGAAACAAGAAAAGACGTTTTGCATCTAACACTGAACAGACACTCTGATCAGATGACCATGAAGCATACAAGTCATAATGCAGTGTTAATTCTATATAGCAAGTCAGACATGGTACATTGTGTGAGGCCATCCAGCAGAGAGACCTCGAGCATGGTCTGCTACAAACAGTGATACAAAGGATGAGAGCCAGGAGACCCCCTGCCCTTTGAACAAGGCAGACATAGTTCAGAGCAACTCAGGACTAGCTCGGAAGCACAAGAGACAGGCACTGAAAGGTGACTTCATACAGGATATCCATAGAGCCAAACCTTTCTTCTTCTTCCTCTTCTGCAGTAGTCAGAAAACAGTTGTGCAAGATCAGCAATTTAGCAGGAGATGCCATTTGGTACAAAGATGCATTAAGCTAAAAAGAAGTCATTAAGGTGTCCCAGGGTCTCATGTGGCACAAAGTGTCAGTCTGAAGCCTCTGGCAGTTAGCTCAGCAATTCCAGCTGTTTACCCTGTGGGGAAAGAGGACGGGTAGGAGAGGAGGAAAGAGCATTCATACGCAGGGTGCGAAGGCTGCACTGCTGGGGTGATGTCTTGCTCTGGCGCTGGCACATCATTCCTAAAAATCTTACCAGCATCTCCAAGAAACTGTTACAGGAATCCTCTGCTGGCAGGGTTTGTGCTGCCGGCATTGTTTTCACATACTGTGCTTTTCCCCTTCAAAGCTACCCGCCAGCTACAGGGCACCAATTTAGTGTTGGATAAAAGACAGGATTATAACAGCCCTGCTTTTTTTTTCACACCATCACATCCTAACTGATCTGCTCTCTGAAAACACAATTAATTTTTCAGGCATCAGTATCTAAGGGAAGCAAGCTTCAGAGAGAAAGCACAGCTGCACTCATTTTTGCCTCACCTAGAGGAACACGCAGCTAAGGTGCCTCAACTCCCACCCAGCTGAGAAGCCAAGCACCCTGAGATTTATCTTACTGACCAGAAGAAGAACACAAGACTCAAACCTTGCGTGTGTGGGCTGAATGTATCAAGATGAATTTATCCAGTAGGTTTGAGTATTGAAAACAGCTGAGGAAGCCATAATATGTGAGCAGGAAAAAGAATGAAAAAGGTTTAAATGCATTAAATAAATTATGGGCAGTAAATTAGTTGCACTGCTTTCCCGCCTAATGAGTTCCTTCGATGGGATTTGTATACACCAGCATGTTAAGCTACCAAGCTGAATTACAAATAGCATCCTTGGATCCTTCTGCCCCAGTAACCAACTCCTCCCAGAACTGGGGGTGAGCCTTGCTGTCATTTCACTTGACAGCTTTACCCAGATTGTAAACAACACCACCCAGCAATAAAGCCCAATAATGAAAAGGCATTACTACCTATAAAGGGACCCTGCTGCAGGCTATTCACATACTTGCCAAATGGTACTTTAATTGTGATGATGACCAATTTGGAGATAATTGCTTCTGCATCTCCTGCTGCTTCTGACAGTCCAATGGACTCCTTAATTAACTGGTTGAATTAGCTCTCAGCACAGCAGAGGGGAGCTGTGTGGGTTTACCCTCTGTAGACCCATGACCAGAACAAGAGGAGAAAACATCAAGGGGATGCAGCAGCTGTTTGTGATCTCTCCACTTTTGCTCCCTGCAGAGCTATCCCACACACCGACTTGCAGTTTGTTAGGGAAGCAAAGCCAAAAAATTGCTGGTCTTTGGCTTCCCTTACTATAATGAATAGTCACTGGTTTTCACAGAGCCTGACGTCCCTACTTAGCCCTCTCCTGATGGGCAACCCCCTGGCATCCAGCTCTGTCCCCCAGGACCATGCCTGTCTTACTGAAAAGCAGTGCAGTCTGGGGCTCCTGACTCTGAGCACAAAACCTAACTGCATCCATTTCCTTGGCAGAGCATGACCAGGAGCAGGGGAAGCAACATCCTGATGGAGCGTGCGCCACCCCTGTCCCAGAGCCTGCAGCCACTGGTCCACTTTCCAGAAGGGAGCTTCTGTCTGGAGATGGTGCCTGGACATGTTGGACAGCGGTGAATGGACGGGAATTGGAAGGTATCTTGTCCTTCCCAAAAATGCTTCCTACCAGCCCTTCATGCTTGCAGTATCTGTGTAAAGCTGCCTACGCTGCTTACACATACCCACAGCTCCTCTGCATCAACAGTGCTGGGGAAGCCCAGCCTGCACTTCTGCAGCTGGTTTACCTATGGATTACACCCCTGTTTTTTAATGGTAGTCCATTGCTCTGACCACTCGTATCCATCGTTCCTAAACTCCCTGCAAACCTGAGTTCATCAGCCTGTGGGCAGTTAGTCCTGGTGGCTGCTGCAAAGGGCAAGGTGCCCCTCGCAGGTACAGAAACTGTGAGGGTTTGGATTGCATTAAAAGGTACTGCTCATTAATTACAAACTGAGAGCGAAGACAGCCTTTCCCAGCTACAGCTGAACCCCCGCACTTCCCAAAGCCTCTGAACAAACGCTTGGCTTAGCATTCCCTCAGCAGCCTCTGTCCCTTTAACCCTGGCAGAAGAAACTATTCTACCTAAAGAGCCATAGTAATAGCAGAGGAAAAATGAACAGAATGAATGCCTACGACTGTGGAAGCACAGCAAAGCCTTCAGGTGGAATGGAGGCAGATTGCTGTAGGAAGCCGCAGCCATCCCAGGCCTCTGTGGGTGCACAGCTGTCTGCTCTCAGTTCAGTAACACACCTGCTTACATTATTAATTACTTCCATTTCTGAACTGGCAGAATGTGGTTCCTGTTGTCCTGACATTCACTGGAGACTGAGGTGAGGCTCTGCATCTGTCCCCGGTCTGGGCTGGCCTGGGAAGGGTTTGTCTTTTGCAGGGGATACAGGGAGCTGTTAACTTGCTGCTCCCTGGGACTTCAGCCACCTAAATCCACTGCCCCTCTGCCAGGAAAATGAATGACATGTTGTCACCAGGGAGAAAAGAGAGTTTGCACACGCATTCGGGCATCAAGAGGTCAGTGTTGCTGCAGAAGTAGGTGGATGGGTGCATTTATGTAGTATGCATGTGTTACTGGTACTGCCAGGATAGCCTGGGTCTCAGCTGGGTAAACAAATGGCTGCAAAGTCTGGGGATTAGACATAAATCATACACAAAGCTGATAAGCACCAATTTTCATTGTATTGGCAAATCTTTTTGATAATTTTGGTATTATAAATGCAGAATAGTTAATGACAGAGTTTCTAAATAATACAAGAATAGAAGAGAAAAACCTTGTATAAAATTATTTTAAGTAAGTACTGGTTTTAACTGCTCATACTAAATCATTTGAAGTCTATAATATCCTCCACCACTGGCCATACCAGTGACCTTATAGATGCACTACCTGGGAGTCTCCTACTAGCCCCACACTCACATCATTCAGGAAAATTACCCAAACTGAAATGAAACAGCGGCCCTCAGACATTCCTGTCCAGGGATTTGGGGTTTGCGGCTGGTGGTTCATTAATGACTCCCTGCTGGATTGGTGCAGGGAATTCAGGCAGAGTCAGGCAAGGAGCAAGTTTTAACTGTGGCATTATTGAAAATTTGAAATAATAGGTAAAGAAATAAATGTGCAGGTTTTGTGGCACTGGAAATTTGCCTGAGTTTGTGCCAGTTTCTATGAATTTGTCTTTAAAAAAATAAGCAAAACCCAATAATTCTGTGAAAATGACAAGCAGAATTTTTCCTGTAAAGGCACTGCAATTTGTTGCTGTTTTGGGGAAAATCAATATTTTTATTTTAACTCTCTTTTTGCCAACTGCTTTCATTCCAAATGAAAGATTTCAAATCAAACCAAGCGTTAAATTTCAACGAAAGTGAAACCCTGAAAAGTCAAAATCCATTCGTGTTTCCCTGACAGTGGTGCACTGCAGTCCATACTGAGCAGAAATCTGTTGTGCTGAGCTCTGGCAAGCTCCTTTTGGAGACAGTGCATCCCTGAAAAAGCATACAGGCTCATTTAGTTTACAATTAGGAGATTTAATGGGCTGGAGTGGATGTTTAATGGAGGTCAGAGCATCTGAGAAACATGCAGTTATAGAGACTTACTTGCTAGGTCAAAAATAATGAGTTTCAAGCTAAAATCAGAGGTACAAAAAACGTTTTTCTCGCTCCCCCCAAATTGTCACAGTTTTAAATATTTTCCCATTTCTGATGTGAAGCAATCTGCAACTTCTCATGAGACAGAAAGATAAGAAAACTCAAAACAGAGCAGCCCCTAGTTTATGTTCAAGGCCTTTTTCTGCCTTCCCTCAAGGTGACTGATCTAACCACTGTGTTACTGGCAATTTTGCATGAGTGAGCACTCATCTGAATGCTGCCTCTTTCATTTTCTCCTTGCTCCAGTTGTTGATTGCCAGCACTCCAAATTAAACATTTCAGAATATGTTTCTTCCTTCATATCCAACTAGAAACTACCCCAGGACCCCAGAAAACTTCTTAGTCACAGCTTTTGTACAGCCGGTTTGCACCTTCGAAGGTCGTGACAATGGTTGCAGAGGCAACCCAGAAAACACAAATATTTCTGGTTATTCTTAATGAAACCAATCAGTTTTTTCCACTCTTCTCCCATTCCTCCCTCCTTTGGTTCTGCTCCCAACGGGCTCAGGAGGCAGACAGGAGTCCTGCACCTTTGCATCTCATTCTCCACTGCTTCCCCTGAGTTTTGCCTGCAAAATTCTGGTGACTCCATGGCTGTGCCACAGCTGCAGGGTACAAGAGATGCCAATTGCTTTGGTGCACAAGAGCAAAGATTTAAGCCATAGGAGAGCTGTAGCCTTTCTTCTGAGCAGCTCACCAGCAGCACAGCCCTCAGACTGCCCACTGAATGGGCACATTCCCACAAGTGGCATCTTGGGGTAGCCCGGGTAGAACATATTCAGAAGGAGATGTGAGGGCCAGGAATTAGAACCTGGATATGTCCAGAAGTGGAGAAGTAGAGATTCCTTCAACCTGAACAAAGAAACCTTGACACTGTGCCTCTGCTTTCATCTGTGTTCAGATCAGATCCTTAAGTCTTGATGTAAAAATAGTGGGGCAGGAGATCTCAGATATAAAATATTACAAAGGAGTTGAAATGAATTGTTTCCAGATCCATCACACAGTTGAAGCTTGAAAAGTGAAGCTGGTATAATAGGATTTCCAAGAAGGAAGGCAAATAGGTGATGATCACTCCCAGTTACACTATAAAGCAAATAACATCTTGTTACTTGCAGAAGCACCCACTAAACTTGTTGGGACTAGAGAAAGACAAGATGTTACTATGTAAGAGTAAGTGGTACTTGTAAGTGCCAAACTGTGAAGATGTACACTTTGTTGAGCAGAGAGTGCCTTTTTAATAATGGAATCTACCATTATTGTACTCAACTGCGTAATGACGATAGACCCTAGAAAGAGTTTGCACATAGGTAGAAGCTGTCTGGAACCATGTTTTAAGTGGAACTGAGCTTCCAAATTGAATAAAGAATTTAAGCTTTTCTTAGATTTGAAAATTGTGTTGGTCCACAATTTATCTTTCCCTGCCTTTGTCTTTAAGTCACAGCTGCCAAACTCCTCCATGGTTTCCTATCTGAGATATATGCAACACCACTATTGTAGCTTCACACTTACTATAGTGTCCATTTCACAAAGCCCCGTTCTTTTCTGATGGACTTACAGAAAAAGAATAAATAACTCTCTTCAACATCCAATTGGGTTTACAGTTAACAATCACTTGGCAGAGCAGAGTAGGTTATTTTAATGAACACATCATTCTGAAATAAGTCTTCCACCATCTGTTCAGTTCCATAATTATAAATGCAAGCAACATAATTCATAAATGCACTATAAAAGAAAGGGAAAGAGAGAACAGCTTAAGATGACTGTTTGTTAGTTATTCCAGACAGTGATGCATCGGCTTACTTTATTCCTGTTCCAGGAGCAGGTAGAAAACAGTCTTCTAATTCTGTATTTTAATGGCAGTCACTAACCCATAGTAAATGATTGCCTGTAGACGATACAGATATCATTAAATGCAGTATGGTTTCTGGTTGGTATCGTTATTTAGCCATATCTATGATCGATGTGCCCAAGAGAGCTCACACAGACCACCTTGAATCACAGTGGGCCAGGAATAAACTTGGACATGTTTTCTAGAACAGCAGGAAAGAGCCTGTGCCATTGGAGTGCCTTTCATGGTCACAGAAATAAGGATAAAGATGACGATGCTGTTGTCTCCCTGAAAAGATGTTTCTGA